AGGTCATCTTAAGGTCGCCCGGCGTCTTCATCTGTTGTTGTGTTTGTGTAGCGCTGATGCTCGGCGGAGGGTCTTGTCTCGGCGTGCTGTCACTATGCATGATGCTGATAACGTGAGGCCTCATTCTAGGTCACTGCTTTATTCCCGTGAAGAGAGAGATTCAGTTAGTGCCCTTTGCTGTTGTTGAAATATTCACAAAGATTTGACTGCTTCATCTGAGAGCGTCAAGTCAGGTACACGGCTCGGGAAATAGAGTTTAGGTAGAGTGCTGACAAGAGGAAAGAAAAGAGGACGCAGACACTAGAGAGAGAGAGAGAAATAAACAGAGAAAGACAAATGACACCATCAAGGAGCTCTATAATACCAGGAGAGAGTTACTCGCCAGGATGCAATTCTTCTTGAAATGAGTTTGTGTTCATATGTAAGTGTGTGTGTGTTTCTCAGTGCCCAGGTGGGGGTTCTCCCAGCGGGACGGGGCAGCGGGACGGGTGGGGCTCCGGTGGAGGACATGCAGGCGCTGTCAATCACATCTCTCTCCGCCTCGGAGCTGGAACAGCAGTATGAGCTGATCAGTCCTTTAGGGAAGGGCACATATGGCAAAGTCGATTTGGTGGTGCATCGGACACAGGGTGAGTCTGTATGAAAATTAGACAGTGCCATTCCTGATTTTCTTTTTTTATTTCCTCCTGTGGAACCAAAACAAAATGTTTTGCAAAATGTCCTGGCTGCTCCTTGCCATGCAAAGTGAATGGAGATGGAAGCTGTCGAGCGGCAAAAATGACCATGAAACTAGCATGCATGTTATATTTCAATGTGTAGGAAATAATTGTGTGAGACAAGCCAAAATTTAGATCACTATTCACTGAAATCTAAGCTGTAGCTATTAAATCTCATTTATCCTTGTGCAGGATTAATTAAAATCAAAACTACATGCATAAAAAATATTTTCGTTACTTGAAATAAAATAAAAGATAAAAAACTTTAAAATACTAAAAATATTTGTGAAGGCAACATTTTCCATTGTTATTTAGTTTAACTTAAAGTGCTAAAATAAATAAAACTGAAAAAAAAAATCAATCAATCAATAAAAACAATTAAAAAACGAATAAAATAATAATAAAAATTACTAAATAGAAAACGGAAAAATATAAAACTAATAACAAATTCAAAATATTAATAAATATTTTGAGCTTTACTTGATATAAAATAAACATTAACTGGAATAAAATACAATAAAATATAAAAAGACAAACTTATTTTATTTCAGCAAGTTGCCAGGGCAATATTTCTCATTTTCGTTCAATTTAACTTGAAGTATACTATAATAACTAAAACTGAAATATAAATAAAAAAAAAATTAGACATATTAAAATACATTTTATATATATATAAATATTTATAATATATATATATATAAATAACAAACACGCACAAAATTTTTTAATTGTATTAACATTTTTATAAGAAATCAAAAATATAAAAATAAAAGCTAATTAAAAATATTAATAAAAAAAATAATATATCAACAATGATACTAAAACAACACAGCCCTTCACTCTCAAATAAAAGCTATTGGCATCAATGGTTCTATGAAGAACATTTAACATCCATAAAACCTTTCCAGTCCACAAAAGGTTCTTTATAGTAGAAAAAGTTTCTTTCGATTATTAAAATGTTCTTAAGATTAAGAACTATTCACTGAAAGGTTCTTTTTGGGAACCTATAATGGTTCTTCTGTGGCATCACTGTGAAAACCACTTTTGGAAGCTTTATTTTGGAGTATTGCGTGCATTCAAATACAGTGGTCTTGATGCACCAGATTTCATTCACCATTATTTTGTGTATTTGCAGGAACTAAACTGGCTCTGAAGTACGTGAGTAAGAACAAGACGAAGTTGCGTAGTTTTCTGCGTGAGTACAGCCTGACGGCCGCGCTGGGCTGCAGCCCGTTTATCATCAAAGTTCTGAACGTGCCGTTTGAGACGGAGGACAGCTATGTGTTCGGACAGGAGTACGCACCTGCGGGAGATCTGTTCGACATCATCCCACCTCAGGTATCACAGCACCTCATTATTAACCATTTTTACATTGCAAATCACACATTTAATCATGCATTTGTAGGTTTAACACCTGTAGCACTATCACACAGCCTGTCGAGAATTTGTCTGCGACATTTTTTTTTAACCACAAAATCAACAGATAAATACAAAATGTAATTATGTATTCATTTATACATAAATTAATAAATAATAATAATAAATTAACGTAGAAAAATAAAAGCAACTGAAATGAAAACAATTAACAAGATTAGTGAATTAAATATGAAATATTTATCATTCTAGTATTAGTGATGACTTATTTTCATAAAATGACTATTACAGTAATAAGAATCAAGGAGAATAATGAGAATATGTATCTTATATCTATATCTTTTTGAGATATTTAACTGAATATATGAGTATATATTTCATCTTTTTTGGACAATATAGAAAACCAACTGTTTGTTTGTTGCCTTTAACCAGACTTTTTGCATTTTCTGCACTGATTGTTCTGGGGGGAAATATACAGAATATAAATGTATTCCCGTAATGGTAATCAATGAGAAAAATGAGAATTATAACCACAAAAGTCATTATTCATGACTCAAAAACAGAACAGTGATTTATTTTCATTTTAATTAGAAAATTACAAAGTAAAAATTAATTAGTAGTAATATTTTTAATAGTAAGTGTTTGGGGCTAGGAGTGAACTTAAATTATATGTAAAATATAATTCATCTATAAATAATATAGAATTGTTTTTTGCTTGTTTTGTATTCTGGGGCAAAATATGACCTGGGCATATTGTTTCTTAGACTAATATATACTTTTAAAAAAAAATCTTTTTTGCATAATATAGAAAATCAACTGTTGATTAGATAAGACTTTAGCCAGTCTTACACAGAATCTGTGGACTTTTCCCCCACATTTTTGCACTGAATTTGAGGGAAAATATGCATAACATAATGCAATAAAAACAAAATGCCCTGGGAATTTGCATAACTTTATGAATGCTGGGTATTTGAATTCTGCAGACATCTTTGGAGTTCAACAGGCACAAATTGCATGTGATCCTGCTTTTGATTATGGCAAACTAGGTGGATCAAGGTCAACTGCTTATTCTCTTTCAGATTAACAGCCTGTACTGTAGCTCTCTCTGTATCTCCTCTGCTCTAAACTGTGCCTTTGTGTTTCTGTCTCTTTCCAGGCCGGTTTGCCGGAGGAGATGGTCAAGCGCTGCGTTCAGCAGCTGGGTTTGGCTCTGGACTTCATGCACAGCAAGAGTCTCGTCCATCGGGACGTGAAGCCAGAAAACGTTCTGCTCTTCGACCACGAGTGTCGACGCGTGAAATTGGCAGATTTAGGAATGACACGGCGGGCAGGCAGCCGGATCAAGAGGATCAGCGGCACCATCCCATACACCGCCGCCGAGGTGTGCCAGGCCTCGGTATCGGAGGGAATCGTCGTGGCAACGACCCAGGACGTGTGGGCATTCGGAGTTCTACTGTTCTGCATGCTGACGGGAAACTTTCCGTGGGAAGCGGCGTTG